TTGGTTTTGATCGTATTCACTGTTAATGTTTTGTTGGAGCCATATATTATTCATATCAAAACGTTGCTGTGCACATAAATAAACCTTGTCTATTGTATTTGCGGAAAAACGAACACAGTATCATCTGCGTAGGATATAATTTTTCCCGAATTAAGTTCAAGATTGCAAAGGTCATTTATATTGCTACGAGCTTGCAGTTCGAGACAATTAAAAACTGCCGATTGAATTACCAAAATTGACACTTTAATTACACAACACTAATTACAATCTAAAATCACACTAATAATAAAACACAGTTCGCCGTTATTTTGCTTCGAAGTATTCTCTTGTATCGCCAATTCAATACTGCCTCGGTCGTGGTCTATACCGGCGTTATATAGGGCCTCAGATAGTTTCCAGAACCTTCTATTGTAGCGACATCTAGAATGTTCGAGTACATGTCGGTCCCGAAATTTCTAGAAGGATCTTGACTCTCCTAGTTCTGCTACTCTACACTAGAGGGCGCTAGTGTAACTAGTGTTGCCATGTACAAGACATTAATAGTGGCGCGCAACAATATATATCAAAAATAGGGTTGGCCCTAATATAATAATCCTTGAGGATAAAAGATTTTTCGTCCTAAACCTATTTAAATAAATAAATGCGTTTCAAATAAAACCGCGTATCGATTATGCGGTCCAAGAGGTCGAACATTGGCGCGTGTTCTAGCCAGTTCCAGTTTTTAGATATGGTGTTACCAAGACCAGTAACTTATCAAAACAAGCCTCTTTCATTTTCATGCGAAAATAATTTGCATAGTCTTTATCCTCTTTTGAAACCCATATGTCAGTCAATAAGTTAATATGGGTGTAGAAATCCCTTTTTAAAAGCCAATCTTTTACCCAGAGACTTCTTCTTATACCTATTTTTTTACACAAAATTGCAATTAAAATTGCAGCACAGGCCTTTTTCTTATGAATATCCATCCTTTCCCTCTGAAAATTTGGGTTTGACTGACATCAGTCAGCATGAGCGTGTCTTTGATTATGAGAGTAAATAATCTAAGGAGCGTGTAATGTCAAAATTATTCTATCATTCAAATATCAATCATGATTGATCAAACCGATTGACCCTTGCCTAGGCGTGTAATGGGCGTCATATTATCAACATGAAATCTAATGCAATACGAAACTATTATATAATAAAGCACGTCTCTTCTATGACTGATTGAAATATTAACCACAAACTCGTGTTTATGAATACTCGTCTTAAAGCCGCGTATCCACTGAAAATGCTGACAACATTTATGTTTCCAACTGTTTGCAACTCAACAAAAGTTGCCAACTTTTGTTTCCGATGTTTCCGCACCGAATTGAAACATGTCATCAACAATTTAAGAAACATTTTAGTTGACAACTTGCTATCTCCACCAAAGTTTTGTTAGCAACAATGTCTTCAAGTGACGAAATTATGCAGGCAGCCGCAGTATTTATAATTTTATGCAAAAAAAAAACACCAGCAGGTTTGGAATTATCCTTAATAATGCGTATAAATGTTGAAGTCAGTTATAGGCACAATTTTTATTTTCATTAGTTGTCTCTCTTCCTCTCTTTTTAAAGAACGTTACCTACACACTAGGATTTTCTCCTGTATCGCAGGGACAGTTTTCTTACATAGAACAGACCTAGAACAATTATTTGTAGGCCATACAAATTCTTGTTCCGTCCGGGATTCGAACCCGCGGCCCTTAGCGCTGCAACTCATTACTAAATCACTGCACCACAGAGCCATCACTAGTCTGTTTCACATTTTTTGCTATTTACAAACATGCGACACGTGACTTCATTATTAATGAAAGAGTGGCAATGCAATAGATATCAATTTTTTCATCTTGGGTGTGATTTTCATGGTTTTCGAGGGTGTTGAAGCCGATAGTGCTGTCGAAATGTAAATCAAAGATGGCGACTGCAATAGGTATCAATTTTTTCATCATGGGTGTCATTTTCATGGTTTTCGAGAGAGTTGAAGCCGATAGGGTTGTCTAAATTTACGTACGTAGACGCCGGACCTTACACACGTACCTAGCGCAAACTAGTTCGCAATTACTCATTAACGCGATTCTCAAACTTTTTGTCCACCTTGTTAGTGAGCTATTGAAATATGTTTAAGTGTACGCGCTGTGACGGAGATTTCAGAGATGGGGTAAAGTGTTCCGTTTGCCAAGAACGTTTTGACTTTCCATGCGCTGGATTAACGAAAGCTGGCTACCGTAGGTTAGGCGAGGATAGAAGAAATAACTGGAGATGCACATCTTGCAAGGGCGCCAAAGCTGTTAGTCCGCTAAACCTACCTTCAAAAAATACACCTTCTGTTAAGTCTCTTTCACTGGTGGAGATGGAGATGATTGCTTCGGAGCTTAAAAGCTTATCTTCACAGATGAACTCACTTCCTATCTTAATAGCAAGCGTCAAGGCTATACAAGCAGATGTGGCCGACCTAAAGTCCATAAAGGCCGATATCGAGATCTTAAGCTTATGAAGCCGGAGGTGGCTGATATGAGGACTTCATTGGAATTTGTTCAGTGCTCTGGTGAATCATTGAATAGTAGGATGACGGAAATAAATCAAGAAATCCAGACTTTGCTGAAGACAAAATATGATGTAGTTCAATTGAAGCAACGTCTTGAGAACTCTGAAGACTCCATGCGGGAATTTGAACAAAGGTCTCGTATGAATAACATCGAGATCAAAGGAGTACCGATGTCTCCATCAGAAAACCTTTTTGAGATTTTTAGTAAGCTTGGAGATCATATCAATTGTGTCATCCCATAAAATCAAATTAATTACATTGCGAGGATTCCTATGCGTAACGATAAACTAAATAAAACTATTATCATCTCAGTGCATAATATATACCTTAAGGAGGACTTTGTAGCCACAGTGAAGAAGCGCACCATTGTTCCAGCGGACCTGGGTTTAAGAGGTGACAATAGAATATTTGTTAATCACCATCTTACTCTGGAAAACAAGATGTTGCTAAATAAAGCCGAAAACTAGCCAAAGAGCGGGGGTTTGCTTATGTTTGGGTAAAGGGATGCAAAATATTTGCAAGAAAAAACCCAACTTCTCATATAATGACAATAAAATCGGAATCCGATTTAAAAAAGTTTTCCTAGTCATAACAACTAGCGCTATGATATTGTTAGGATCATCTTTCTCTTATAACTGTGTTTTAGTTAGTTTGAGAAACGCTTGCCCTCTAATATTTAAGTTTGCTTACCTGCTTGATATCGTTACGCATTCACGTACTCCCGTTGCACACTTGTTTACTCAATCATATTACATCGCTCCACCGTCTATTTACTTTTGCATTTTTGTATCTTTTGTTTACGCTTATAGCCTTATTGTATTATTAGTTTTTTTAATGTTGCCTACAAATTTAACATTTTTTACTCATCTTTTCAAACATATTGCTTTACTCCGCCTTTCTACGTTTATTACTTGTTACTATAACTAATTATGTAGTAGTTTACGTACAAAAACTTCGGCCTTCTATAGTAATATTAACATAAACTCTTATGATGTTATATGTTTATCAGAAACTTGGTTGAATGAAAGCGTTAAAGATAGCGAATTATTCGATGATAGGTACATAGTTTGGCGACGGGATCGAGATTACAAAAGAATTAATCAAACATTGGGGGGTGGAGTGTTAATTGCTGTTCGCCGGGACCTCTCAGCAGAAGTTCGTAGTGATTGGTGTTCGAATGCCGAGGACTTATGGGTAACATGGACACTTAAATGCAGGAATCCTAAGGTAGTGTATAAACTGCATATTTGTACGGTATATATATGTAACCAAAGCGTATTTTATTCACTACCAACTCAGTTACCCGCATACTCCGAAAAACTTTGTAATACAATATTAAAATATCCTTGCGATAAATTTATAATTCTTGGCGATTTTAACATGCCTAACATAATCTGGAAGTCGTGTGATCAAAACATTTCATATATTCCCGAGAACATACAGGTCTCTTATCAATTTGATTTATTTGATAACATTAATATATTATGCAATTTATCACAATACAATTATATACATAACGCAAATAATAGAATTTTAGACTTAATATTTTCTAACAGCACGTTAGCTGTTAACCACTGTGGAATCCCGCTAATACCCGAAGATACTCATCATCCAGCTCTGTGTGTGGTTGCAGAATTTATTCAACTTCACACTCTTAAAAGTCGTACCTATACTAAATTTCTATATCAATCTGGTGATTACAATTCTATTATTTCAAAACTTGATGCCAAGAACTTAACTCTAAGCCGTTACAAGATGCCTTGTTATTGTTTTATAATAAATTAGCTGAACTCCGTCAAACTTATATTTATATTAAACTTATATATTATATTCCCTTCTAAGACTTACACCAAGGTTTAAATATCCATTATGGTATAAGAAACCCCTAATTAAAAATTTGAAAGAAAAACATAAATATCACTCGAAATATAAGAAATACGGGAATCAATCTGACCTTCAATAATTTATCAGAGAACAAGAGAACAAGCCAAGACTCTGTAAAAACAAATGTTTGATACATACATTTCAAACGTAGAAAAAAATATTTGTAATAATCCTACAGCTTTTTGGTCTTACATAAAAACAAAAACCAAAGTCAATTCATATCCCGCTGTATTGCGTTTTGGAGATAAATCGTCAGATTGTGGCGCAGAAATTTGCAATTTGTTTAGTGATTATTTTCAGTCAACTTTTTTAAATACTACCCATACGTACATTAACCCAGATGTCACCTCTCAAATGAACTATAATATACCATCTGATATAGGGGATATAGAGGTCACATTTGATGGAGTATTTAAGCTTTTGAAATCACTTGACTTAGTAAATCAGCTGGGCCTGACAACATACCTGCTATTTTTATCGTGAGATGCGCCAAGAGCCTTGCGTTTCCTTTGACTATATTATATCGGCGTTCTTTATTAGAAGGTTTAATGCCAAGAATCTGGAAATCGGCTTATGTCACACCAATTTACAAAAAAGGACCAAACGATCAAGTTGACAACTACCGACCTATTTCCAAATTATGTCTATTTGCAAAAGTACTTGAAAGAATTGTCTATGATCAACTATATGCTGCCCTAAAACATACACTTAGCTTTCAACAACACGGTTTCGTCAACGGTCGGTCAACAACTACTAATCTTATATTATGTAGTGACTACTTATCAGAACACATGTCAGAGCCCTCACAAGTCGATGTGGTCTACACAGACTATAGCAAATGCTTTGATCGAATAGATCATTTGCTACTATTACACAAAATTCAATCAGTAGGAATACGAAGTAATTTATATCGGTGGTTCACCTCTTACGTCCAAAATCGGAGTGAGACAGTTGCCCTAAATGGTTACACCTCTAAGGCCATGCCAATACCATCTGGTGTCCCACAGGGCTCCTTGCTAGGGCCTTTACTCTTTAATATTTTTGTTAATGATATCATCACATGTTTCAAGTACTCAAAAATCATATTTTACGCCGATGATATGACAATATTAAGTCCTATAACGTCCCTCGAAAGCGCATATCATTTGCAAGAAGACTTGGGTAGGTTTGAAAATTACTGTCTATACAACAAATTAGACTTAAATATTTCTAAATGCTACATTTGCACATACACACGGAAGACTAAACCTATAATTTTCCGCTACACTATAAAACATATAGATATAACTAGAGTCAAAACTATCCGCGATTTAGGAGTAATTTTTGACTCCAAATTACTGTTTAATAAACATATTGACAATATTATAAACAAAGCCTCTAAAGCGCTTGGCTTTATTTTAAGAATGTCTTCTGATTTCAATTCTATTAAAACCTTCAAAATTCTTTACTGTGCTTTCGTACGAAGTCATCTAGAGTATGCCTCTCAAGTATGGAATCCTACTTATAATATTTATTCTACGCGTATTGAACCGATTCAGAAAAAAATTCTTCGCGATGTTCAATTTAGTGTTAAGATCTTTCTACCGGATTACACAACACGTTGCCGAAAGTTTCACATTTTGCCGCTATATGAAAGAAGGCGCATAGCGGATCTATCTTTTTTAATTAATATAGCAAATAGCACGATCGACTGTCCCAAACTGTTGGAGCAAATACGTTTACAAGTTTCATACGCATCTTCACGCAAGCCATGCAAACTATACGTGCCGGGAGTAAATACAAACTACAGGCAAAGTTCTTATTTAACAAGAGTGAGCAAGTGTTTCAATGACGTGGCGAAAATACAAAATGTAGACTTATTTAACACCTCTAGCAGGCAGCTTAAGCGTCTAATGAGTCATAAGTTTTTCGTTTACTGATGTGTATTACATATACCATGCAATGTTATTTATTTCATTTTACTTCTTAAATCATCTTTTATTGTGTAATTAAATCTACGTCTACGTTACTTGTGCAATTTTTCTCTGTACTTTATTTATAAGTGGGAACTTTTAATTGGCCTTCAGTACATTTTTTTTATTGTTCATACATTTATAACTAGCTGTAAGTTCTCCTAAAATAGTAATAAATAAATAAATGTAAATCCAAGGTGGCGGCAGCAATATATATCAATTTTTTCATCATAGGTGTCATTCTCATGGTTTTCGCGGGTTTTGAATCCGATAGTGCTGTCGAAATGTAAATCCAAGGTGGCGGTTGCAATAGGTATCAATTTTTTCATCATGGGTGTCATTTTCATGGTTTTCGAGAGAGTTGAAGCCGATAGGGTTGTCGAAATGTAAATCCAAGATGGCGGCTGCGATAGATATAAATTTTTTCATCATGGGTGTCATTCTCATGGTTTTCGCGGGTGTTGAAGCCGATAGTGCTGTCGAAATGTAAATCCAAGGTGGCGGCTGCAATAGGTATAATTTTTTTCATCATGGGTGTCATTTTCATGGGTTTCGAGGGTGTCGAAGCCGATAGTGCTGTCGAAATGTAAATCCAAGATGGCGGCTGAAGTAGGTACCAATTTTTTAATCATGGGTGTCATTTTCCTGGGTTTCGAGGGTGTTGAAGCTGATAGTGCTGTCGAAATGTATTTAAACTACTTTAAAACATTCCGTATAATCATGTTATACGTAATTTTTTTAATGCGCTTAAGGCATGCCCAATTGGATTTACCAATATTTATAAATATTCTGTTATTGGGCCGTTAATAATATTGAGAAACTTCTGTGCATTCAGGTTTCCATCGATAAAAATAGGGCCGATTATTTGATCTCCGTTAATACCTGCCCAAACAATGGAAAATCACTCGAATATTGATGAGCTGATTCCCTGAATGGGCCATTCTACGAACCTGAGAAAAACGTATCGACAATACGTGACGTGTCATGTCTGTCGACTATTCGCCGACGCCCTCTGAAGGTTTAACGGCTACTTAAAAATATAAATTCTTAAGCTACTAGATAAACTTATAATTTTTGAAACGATACCTGTCCTTAACATTAAGATTAAAAGACTTATTGAATTGAAGAAATATTGATGTTTCTACAAGCGTTATAAATTTTTGTCACAACTGTCGACATGTAAAGTTTTGAATACTAGAATCAGAAAGCTTATTATTTCAACGTTGTTTTAATTTTTATGGCAATATTAGAGTATACCTGTCAGTGATAAGTCACATTTTTTGATGGAACAAAGAATTCTATCAAGAGAAGCCATAATTTAAAAGAAGAAGAAGATGGAACAAAAGCGAGCTGCTGAAAATTTTAAATTGAAAAGAGGTTCTGCAAGTGTGTCGAAGTTGAAGAGTCACTTCTTAGAGGAAAAAATAAAAGGTTACTAACATGATAAAATAAATAGCCACATACAGCCTTGTAGAAAAACGGTTTCACCTAGTTCCGAAACAACAATGTATATTATTACCCCTCAGTTGTAGCTGTTAACTTAAGTAGATTCAAATTTGTCACTTCTGTCGAAGTCAATTCTATCGACTACTTTGTCGACTGAAGTGACGACTCTCGGCCAAAGTGACTACCGCCTATGTTTATTATGCATTAATCAGTTAAACAACGCTTGTCAGAACAAATCAAGTATTACATTAAATAATAAGAAATTCAAAGCCGATTTTGTTCGTTATCTCCATGATTGTCTCCATCAGGTGTAGCGCGTAATTTGAGAAAAAAGGTGTGTTTAATATTTTGTGTTGAAGTAGCTGTTATGAATTTATAAAACACGTAAAAATAACTATCTAATTCGTATATTATTATTTTACTTAAAATTCTACCAAATTTAAGCGTTGATAGGATTTATTAATGTATGGTTATTTATATTATATAAAGTTTACGACAAAATTTAGTTACAGTTCAATGATCTGACATAAATTTTATCAAACTTTAAAATACTACTAAATCACATTTTGACTGAGTAATCACGAAATCTTCAAAACTATAGTTACTACTACCACAACACTATAGGTGGTTAAAAGGATGTTGACAGACAAAAAGAAGAATACTATAGTAGGTTAGTAGGGAAAACTACAAAAATAGGAAAGAGTAGGGATTAGTAAAATATATAAAGGTATTCTGACTCCAAAAATACAAAAACGAGTACGAAACGGCAAGAATGTACTCGAAAACACCGTAAAAAGAAAAGGAACTCAGAGAAACTGAGATTAGACTTACAAATGAAACACCGCCATTATAACCTTTACCGCATAGCTACAGATCTTTAAGAAATGACATGGGCTAGCAGATTGCAGAGAAAAATCGAAGGAAAATAAGAGCTGAAAAGAAATATTTAAGAGAGAGGATTTTGCTACTTGAAAACTGTTTAGCTAGCTATAAGATGAGAATGCTACAAAAAATCGCGACAAGGCGCCCCAGACGGCATGGAAAGATACGTCAAGAAAACAGGAGATACTCAAGTAGTAGTTGGGCGATACGTCCCAGATTGCGAATCATTAATTACCTGTTTGCAAGGAACCTGCAAATTATACGTGGTAGAGCCATGCTGCAGCTACATTAGTAGTATAGTTATAGCACGAATGGATCGGCTCGACCGGGGAAGGACCACGCTCTCACAGAATACCGGCGTAAAATAGCAGCTTAACACTGCTGTGTTTCGTATGGTGAGTGTAGAGAACCGGAGACCCTTTTTACTGGAAACGAGGCATTCCATCTTAGTCCTCACGGGTGACAACGCATCTGCATTTTGATTCGTAATCGAGGATAGATGTAGATGTCTATGGGCCACAGCAACCACTTACCATCAGGTGGACTGTGTGCTCGTTTGTCACCCTATCCTATATAAAAAAAAATGACAGCTAATATTAAGCAAATTAAAACTATTTGATAATATAGGTACTTAAAAATTTGTTACTAATCTTAATATCGTAATTACCAACATTTGTCGGCTCCGTGGCGCAGTGGGTTAGCAATGAGTTGCTGTGCTGGAGGCCGCGGGTTCGAATCCCGCACGGAACAAGTATTTATATGGCCTACAAATAATTGTTCAAGGGTCTGGATGTTTATCCTTGTGCAATTTGTGTTTGTAAACTGCCTCTACGATACAGGAGAAAATCCTAGTGTGGTAACGTTTTATTTTTAAATAAAAAAATGTATGTCTTTATATTACTGAGTGTCGATAAACAATAAAATTCAATAGAGTTGTTGAGTTTCTTGTCTATAATACTTATCGATGTTCTTTTCTACCCATATCTGTTTACAACCAACCTAGCTAGAACTAGAACCTAGACTAAAATTAAGGCTAAAAAGCACAAAAATTGTGAATTTGCGTCCGAAACAAAATGATTATCTTTGTTCTAAACATTTCACAGACGACTGTTTTATTGGACATGAGAAACGCACCACTTTGAAAAAGTGCAGTATAACCCTACAATATTTTCTAGTAATACGAGTACCAGTAAGTATGAAAGTATTAGATAATTATTACGAAAGTTTTTTTTATTTATTTTCTCCTTATTTTCCTCCAGACTCAAGGACTATAGCCATAGCCAGTGTAGAAAGGTCGCCTGATGATGACTTTGTGTTTACAAGACGTAAGTTTGTTAAATCTGTATATTATTATGACCAACTTATTGTATCAAGGGAATAAATTTATACTGGAATTGCAAAATTATTAATGTCCTTAGTGAGTTTGCGAGAGTTTAGGTGAGAAATAACTCCTCCCTAATAATACATATTATAATGGAACGGACAAACGGACATATAATAACGGATTGCCGCCTTGTCGTGGTGAGGGGAGGATGCTGGGGGGGGGGGGGGAGTTAGAAGCCGTGGCTTGGTAACCCATGGTAAACGTAGGGCGACTCATATGGCTGGCTCAAAGTGAAGGGCTGGTCTAAGGTGGCTACTCTGAGTGGGCTTGTCTAGCCCTTGAATGTGTGTTAGTGAGCTGCGGCTAGAGGAGAGTCCACTCTCTATATCGCTATAGCCGAGGTGGTGTCACAAGGGATTAGAATTGTTGGTATGGTAATGCGCCACTCGACTATTCTCCGCGACTTTGGCGGGACTGTACCACTTGGTGCTTCAGAGTACTCGTTTTTTCTTAGCTCCATGGCCGCCACATATCGGCCGGAAGTCGGGGAGGGAAGTCTTTAATAAAGGAGGGGTCCTCGCTGGTCGGGCCGCGGATGTGCTTGAAAGCGTTTCCGTGGCCCTGTCAATGTGTGGTGAAGGTGGAACATCATGGGGCTTTGGTAGGGGCAAGTCCGACACAATCCGTTCTTGCCCCCGCAATGCAGGTATGCGTAGGCATTTTCTCGTTTGAAACCCTGAACAAAATCCGTTCTGTAGTTACGAATAAAAACGTTGATAGATCAACGCAGGGTCGAGTCTTGTTTTATATGTAGTATAAAGCTTCCGTCTAAGGCCTAGGTTGATACATTTTTTTATTGTATGGCATTATATTAATATGATATATAAATAGAATGGATGTTAC